TAAAAGGAACAAAAAAAATACACCTTTTCTTCTGCCCTGCACTCAAAAAAGAAAAGTCAGAGCCTATCTACTTTTTTTATGGGCAACACCTTTTTTTTTTTTTTTTTTTTTTTTACCTTAGTTTTTTAATGAAATACCAATTAATTGCATTATTCTATATTATGAAAATAAGATTCTGTTGGGAAATTACTCTTACAATAGGCAAGGTGACGCTGAGAGATGATTAATAATGCTACAGGCACAATCCTCTACACACTAATACACCCATGACTCAAGTAGTAAAGTCATGCCGTGACCTGTGCAGAGCTTTATCTATGATGGTTACAATGCCAGCACTGAACAATAGACATATCATACATAAAAGAAAGCATGTTTCAAATTGGGCTTGGTTCTAATCTAGAGATTGATGAATAGATCCGGTTTAAAAAAACAATGCAGGACTAGTTTAGAGTAGCCTTTCTCAACCAGGGTGCCTTGAGGTTTCTTCAGGGGTGCCTTGGCAAAATGTCTAAAAATTGCCCAAAGCCAGTGGGTGGAACAAGCCTGCCTTTTAATTACACAAAGCCACAGGTTTTTATTGTGCGCCATTATGGCCTTCTAGCCACCGGCATCCTGACAACCAATGACATCATCAGCTGATAAGGAGGATGTCGGTTGCCTGCACAGCATCCTAGTTTGATCCTCCCCTGCCCCTTTCCGTCAGTGCTGGGGTCACATTAGTGAGGAGTGATGGATAAAAACTGAGGGAGAAGAGAAACATTGGAATACTAGTCAGTACCAGTGTGCAAAAGTGTATTACTTTGGAAGGATATATCCCCTCCAACGTTGGGTGTCCTACATGTGTGGATGTTGCTACATAATATAAAACTATTAGAATAGTTTTTCACATTTTTAGAATGGGGTGCCCTTTTAAAACTATGGACAGTCTAGAGGCACCCCATTCTAGAATGAGGTGCTTCAAGACTGCCCATAATGATAAAGGGTGCCTTGGGACTGTCCATCATTTTAAAGGGTGTCTTGACTGAAAAAAGGTTGAGAAACACTGTGTTAGAGATTAGAGGAATTTATGTCACCAGTTAGTCAACACGGAATTCGGTCAAAATGTAGCTGTAGTAGAACTAGAAAGCACCGTATGTAGGCCTTGTCCAGTCATAGGCTGAGGACAAGGACAAGACCTTCCTGTATTGCTTACCTGAAACAGAAAAATATAATGTCTCCTGCCCTGCCAGTGAGAGCTATGCCGTGTTTCAGAGCTGTGTACACCTGGTTCACACTAGTGCGACTTCTGATGCGACACAGAAAGGTGTATGACAAGTCAAACCACATTCATTTCAATGGGTGTCTCAAGTCGCAGTGACAAAAAGAATAGTTCCTGCACTGCTTTTGTGCGACTCTCAGTGCAACTTGGTCCCATAGACTTCTATGTTATCTCACAGAAGTCTCACCAGTATAGATAAGAATGCAACTTTGATGGATCAGGTTTTTTAAACTCACCTCTCCTCCCTGGTCATCCTTGCTACCCAAAAACTTCCTCCTTAGAAAATCATATTCACATCTGAACATAGCAGAAATGCACATTCCCACTCACATTTTTGGGTGCGTTTTTCACAAGTAAAACGCGAATCGCCCATTTACTTGAATAGGCTGCTCTAAATACAAGAAACACCCCAAAGTAGCTCAGGAACCATTTAAGTTGTGGAGCGTTAAGCATTTTGGCACATTTGTAGTGCATTTTGGCAAGCAGCAAAACACGCGCCTGCTAACCACGATTGGGTTACATGGTTACATAGTTAATCTGGCTGAAAAAAGACAAAAGCCCATCCAGTTCAACCATAGAAAAAAAACAATAAGCCTGCATTCACATCTGTGCACGTGCGCTTCGCCGCATGTTTCAGAAACGCGCGGCAAATGAGCATTGCTTTGCCATTTAGGCTGCAGTCACATCTGTGTGTTTCCAAACACATGACAACCCACAAAGAAAGTGTATGACACATGTTCGGAAACGCACAGTTGCAAACTCAACCTAAATGGCAATCCGCGTTTTCTGTTCAGGTTGTCCGTATTCAGAAATGCGCAGATGCAAACACAGCCCAAATGGCAACCCAAGCACAATGCGCATTGCCGCACATTTTTGAAATGCTTGGCAAAGTGCGTCATTTCTGTGCACAAGTATGATGCGCGTCTGCCATGTGTTTTGAAAATGCAAAGCGTGCATTTTCTGTTGAGGTTGCCACACGTTTGGAAATGCACAGAAAATGCACACTTATGCGAATGCAGCCTAAATGGCAACATAAGCGTGATACGTGTTTGCCGCATGTTTGGAAGAGTGCAGATGTGAATGCTTCCCAAATGACAATGAAACTGAGACATGTTTGCTGGGAATTTCTGAACGCACAATGACGTGCAAAGAAAATGTGAGCTCTGCCTTGCATTTCGAAAACGCGCGTCACGTGCGCGATGCCATTTAGGCTGCATTCGCATCTGCGCATTTCCAAACATGCAGCAACTCGCGTAGAAAATGCGCTCTTTGCTGTGCATTTTGAAAACATGCAGAAACGCGTGTCATGCTTACTTGGCCATTTAGGCTGCATTTGCTTCTGCGCGTCTCCAAAAGTGTGGGAACACGCATCTCACTTACGTTGCCATTTAGACTACGTTCGCATCCACGCAGTTTTTGAATGTGCAGCAACTCGCACAGAAAACGTGCACTTTGCTGTGCTTTTCAAAATGCATGAAAACACGTTTTGGGCATGCGTTGCCATTTAGATCATGTTCACATCTGCGCATTTCCTAACACTCTGCAACCTGCACAGAAAACGCGTGCTTTGCCGTGTGTTTTGAAAACACGCAGAAATGCGTGTCGCGCTTGCGTTATCATTTAGACTGCATTCACATCTGTGCATTTCCAAACATGCGACAACCCGCAATCGAATGGGCTGCCCTATGTGCAATGCATTTTTATGCTTGAAAAATGCGCAAAAAAACTTGATCGGGAACTTGCATTTCTACACTCAGATGTGAATGGAATGTGACCAGGGAAAGAGTGTGAAGTTAAACAAAAAACCCAAAAGAACAAATCCCATAGGTGTTTAATCTATGTATTTACCTGTTTGCCTAGAATTCAGGTTTGAAGTGATACTAAATGTTCAATTTTTTTTGGTTTAGAAAAAAAAAGATAATACATACCTGCTCTGTGCAACGATATTGCACAGAGCAGTCCCTTGCTTCCACTTTTGTCAGTCTCCCACCAACGCTGTCAGCTTTTCCCTGCTCCGGGTGTCTCATTAGCAACTAGGTACTAAGGAGGTGACCATGTGTTGGCGCTCCTTAGCCAGGCTGTGTATATCCCTTGACAAACACAGTCAAGGCCGTGGATAAAGGGGGTACCCCCAGTTCTCCTGTACGGGGCCCAGGCCAGCAAGGGGGCCTAGGCAGCTGGGTGAATTTAATGTGGGCAGGGAGGGTGATTGGCACTAACTGGAACCGATCCTGTGTATGGCCCTCTCTGCAGCAGCTGAAAGCTGGCTTCTTCTTTTCTCCCTTCTGATGGCTTTCTGCTGCTGCAGAGAGCCATGTAGGCGATTGGTTCCAGTAACAGCCCCCTGCCACACCCATCACCATATGTTTCCCCTGCTGCCCGGCCCCCTGTGGGCCCCCAACCTCTGCAGTGTTGCCAGCTTCCCTCCACTCCTTCCCACCAGCAGCTGCAAGTACACAATAGGATCCTTCAGGATGCAGAGTGGAAGAATGGTCTGGTAAATATGTCACATTAAGCAGCGCCTTGCTTTCCCGAATGAACACAATAAGTGATCGGTACCAATCACTCACTGTGTTCATTCATAACAGAAGTATAGTAAACTGCTTTTTTTTTTGGGGGGGGGGGGGGGGTCAGCTGTCATGGGCCCCATGGTTTCTGACAGCAGCCATGCACACATTGGCAGTAAGCCCCACCCCTACTCCCCCCTCAAAGTAGTTTGACTGATAGCCGCAGGAGCCTATGGCACCCGCTGACCTTGGTGTTTCCAGTGAAAGCAGAAAGTGAGAGGAGTGGTGCTGTAAATGAGACAGTGCTGGAGTGCTAACAGGAGTTCAGTAAGTGTTTAGGGAAGGGGGGTGGGTAGGACAGACAGTGGGGAATATTTTTTACCTTAAGGTGTTACTAAACCCACAACAGTAAAAATCAGTCTGTACAGTATATGCAGTAAAGCATGCTTGTTATACTCACTGTGGAACCTAAGGGGTTAATCCTCGGCATTGTGTAAAAATGTGGTTTGATCCTGACTTCTCTGATCCTCCCCTTCTTCCAGTGTCCCCCTTCTTATCTCCTGATAAGACAGTGTGTGGAGTCACTCTACACATGCTCAGTTTGGTGTGTATTGCTAGAAAGGTTTTTTTTTTCTTCAGAGAGTACATGTGACCAACACAGGGCCAATCAGCACTGTCTAGACAGAGGTCAGGGGTTCTGCATCCTCCTAGAGTAAAATGAAAACTCCTCCTACAAGCTTTAACATGTGCTCTGCTGGACACTGATAGAAGTGACAAGACTACTATTTCATGCTTATGAGAAAAGGTATTTAGCAGTTTATATTTACTAAAATCATTGCACTTCCATGTTGTGTGTACTGTGGGAGACCAGATATAGTGAATGCAGGGTCCGGGGTTTAGTAACACTTTAATGCAGAGACTACATTAAGGTATAAAACCTTTTAGATGATAGAACAACTGTAGTTTATGGACCAGGTTCTGATGTCACAGGCTGAGTGACCCGCACATGCATGCAGGCTACAGACTAACCTATGGAGTTGTACAGAAAGTGAATGAATGGATAAATGAACCCTTTGCATAAGGTCACTCCATGGTGCAAGGTCTTAATAAAAAAGCCTGAATTGTATATGTTGTGCATAGGATCTGCCTTCTTGTACATTACTTGCCCTGGGACAGGCTGGCACAATTGCTCAGTAGGGTTGTACTTACAGTTTCTCTTTCTTTCCTTATTGCAGCCAATACCTTATACTACAATGATTGCCGGAGGACTACGAACAAAAATGGGTGTCTTTATCCAAGCCACACTTCCCCATGATCATAAGAGGTAAGGCCACTCATTTACTACTATTACTTTGGCACTGCCTTTGTTTTCAACCACTTGCCCTCCAGAGGATTTATCCCCCTTCCTGACCAGGCCATTTTTGTGATATGCCAAATTAAATTTATGTTCTTTTTTTCCCCACAAATAGAACATTCTTTCGGTGGTATTTGATCACCTGTGTGTTTTACATTTTTTTGCGCTGTAAACAAAAAAAGACCGACAATTTTGAAAAAAAAAAAAATATATTTTTGACCTTTTGCTATAAAACATGTCCAGTAATGAAATTTTTAAAATCAAATTTCGACATAACTTTAGGCCAAAATGTACTCTGCGACATGTCTTTGCTAAATAAAATCCCAATATGTGTAAATTAATTGGCTATAGTTATAGTGTTTACAAATGGCAGTATAGATACTGGTCCATCAACCTTCTTATTTTCTGTCCATAGTCTCCTAAGTTACTCTGGTTCCCCATAATAGTCATATTTAGGAGTGTCATTCTTCCCAGACAGTGTTTTCTTCATTCTCCTCTGCTTTTTCTTTAGGTTTACGATTAACTTTTCCCCGGCTGAGGGTGAAGATTCAGACCTTGCCCTCCACATGAATGCTCGATATGACGGTCGAGACCGGTTGTCTTTAACTCACGTCTGAATGGACAATGGAAGGATGAGGAAATGAAAAAAGACATGCCCTTTAAGGCTGGAAAGGTCTTCAGTATCATGTTTGAGATTACTCCAAACAACTACCTGGTGAGAAAATTGTGGCACCCAACCCATATACACTGAAGAAATTCAAGAGGTAGTAACAATGGAGGAGATCTACTAAAACTGGTGCGCTCAGAATCTGGTGCAGCTGTGTATGGCAGCCAGTTTCTAACTTCAGCTTGTTCAAGTAAGCTTTGGCAATAAAATCTGAAAGCTGATTGGTTTCTATGCAGAGCTGCACCAGATTTTGCAAGCTCCAGTTTTAGTAAATCTGTCCCATGTTTAGCACCCTCAGACCTTGGATGTGCTTATCATATTTATTACAATTATTGCTAACTGATTGCTTTTGGTGATTGCATGTGGTACACAAGCAATGTATTTTTACAATAATATCACTATTCATATGTTTCCCTTAGCAGACACTTGCATTCCAACTGTTATTTTTCAAGAGCCAGATTGAATGTGAATTAAAGAATCTGCCATGGTCCACATGCTAATGATCTAATTATGTAAATATTTGGCTGTGGTTTGGTCAGTCTTATTGCTAACCTAATTCAATGCTAAATGTTTCTAAGATAGAATACTGAAGTTCGTCAGCATGTGTAAGAGTCAAGCCAATGTCACACTAGTGGTCCTGTTGTTGGCGAGAACTTGCTGGTAGCAGGATTGTTATGCAGGACGCAGAAGAGCAGTGAAATACTCACCTCTAATACTGTATATGTCACTCCCTCACTGGCTGGATGAGAAAGAGGTTGATCTCTTTCTGGGGACCTATATTCTGAAGCATTTTATCAGTGGTAGAGCATTCGGACATTTGGATGTTCAGACATGAGTCCAAACTTGTCTGAGCCATCCCGCCAAAAAGATGGCAGAGCAGGGCATGCCTCCACCAGCTATGACTGGCTGTCTGCCTCAACAGCTTCCTGGCGGGATAGCTTGGGCGAATATTGACTAGTGCTCAAACACGCGTTAATCTCTATATACAACCAGTAGGCGTTTTGCCTACACATTTCAGTTCTCACTAGCAACAAGATCACTATTGTGACAGCCTTAGTCTTTAAATCGATCCCTGTGAGGTACAGTGGGGAAAATAATTATTTGATCCCCTGCAGATTTTCTAAGTTTGCCCACTTACAAAGATGTGAAGGGTCTATAATTGTTATCATAGCTGTATTTTAAATGATAGAGACAGAATATCAACCAAAAAAAAAAAACACGATACAAATGTTATAAACTGAGGTGCAGTTCAGATAGTAAAATACGTATTTGATCCCCTACCAATCAACAATAATTCTGCCCCCCACAGGCTGGCTATGTGCTCATGTGGTACACAGATTTGTCCTGTCAATTTGTATACACAACTTGTTATACAAGACGCCTGTACACTGAACCTCTTTCTTGGACATCACCATGGGCAAGACCAAAGATCTGTCAAAGGACATCAGGGACAAGATTGTAGACCTGCACAAGGCTGAAATGGGCTACAAGACCATCAGCAAGAAGTTGGTGAGAATGAAACTGTTGGAGCGATTATTCACATATGGAAGAAATACAAAATAACCAATCAATTGCCATTGGTCTGTAGCTCCATGCAAGATTTCGCCTCATGGGTTAAGGATCATCATAAAAATGAGTGATCAGCCCAGAACTACAGAGGAAGAGCTTGTGAATGATCTCAAAACAGATTGAACCACAGTCACCAAACAAACCGTTGGTAATACAATACTCCACCATGGATTGAAATCCTGCAGCGCCCACAAGGTCCCCCCTTCTCAAGAAGGCACATGTACAGGCCTGTTTGAAGTTTGCCGATGAACCTCTAAATGATGCAGAGAAGGATTGGAGAGAAAGTGCTGTGGTCAGATGAGACCAAAATCAAGCTCTTTGGCATTAAATCGACTTGCTGTGTTTGGAGGAAGAAAAATGCTGATTATGACCCTAAGAACACCATCCCTACAGTCAAGCACGGAGGTGGAAACATTATGCTTTAAGGCTGTTTCTCTGCTAAAGGTACAGGCTGACTGATTGAGGGGCCAATGGACTGTAACATCTTGGACAAGGACCTTCTTCTCTCAGCCAGAACACTGAAGATGGGTCGTGGATGGGTGTTCCAGCATGACAATGACCAAAAACATACTGCCAAGGCAACAAAGGAGTGGCTCAAGAAGGAGCACATTAAAGTCATGGAGTGGCCTAGCCAGTCTCCAGACCTTAATCCTTGGGTTGCCAAGAGACAGCCAAGAAACCTTAAAGTGGTTGTAAAGGCTCAAGGTTTTTTACCTTCATATATTCTATGCATGAAGGTTAAAAAACCTGGGTGCAGCAATGCCCCCCCGTCCCCTCAATACTTACCTGAGCCCCATCGCGATCCAGGGATGTGCATGACAGCCTCAGCTGTCCTTGGTCTCTACCTCCTCATTGGCTGAGACAGCAAGTGGGAGCCATTGTCTCCCGCTGCTGTCAATCACAGCCAGTCGACCAATGAGGAGAGAGAGGGGCGGGACCAAGCAGCAGCTCCGTTTGTGAATGGACACACAGAGTAACGGCTTGGGAACATGCTTGCTTGGATGCACCCATAGCAAGCTGCTTGCTATGGGGACACCTGACAGAAAGGAGGCACAAGGAGACCCGAGAAGAGGTGGATCCAGGCTGCTCTGTGCAAAAACACAGTAGGTAAATATAACATGTTTGTTATTTTCCAAAAAAAAAAAAATGAACCTTTAGAATCGCTTTAAGGATTTAGAGAAGATCTGTAAAGAAGAGTAGACCAAAATCCTCCTGAGATGTTTGCAAACCTGGTAACCAACTACAAGAAATGTCTTACCTCTGTGCTTGCCAGCATGGGTTTCTCCACCAAATACTAAGTCATGTTTTGCTTGGAGATCAAATTCTTATTTTACTCACTAAACAGCAACTCAGTTTACAACATTTGTAATGTGTGTTTTTTCTGGATTTTTCTTTGATATTCTGTCTCTATCATTTAAAATACACCTATGATAAAAGATATAGACCCTTCATTTCTTTGTAAGTGGGCAAACTTACAAAATCTGCAGAGGATCAAATAATCTGAAGGAGTCCTGGGAGTGGATGGGATGAAACGCATCAGCTGACACATGCCCCCCCCTCCCCCTGACATCTACATGCTATCTCCACACGCTGTGGTGCAAACCTTGATCTATTATAGCCATACATCCTTGGGCCATTTGCTAGGCTTGAATTTAAGGACTGGCAGCCATCCACGGGAGTGCAGGCAGATTCCTTGCTGGACTTAGAGGTCCCACCATTATTTCAGCCTTTATCATCACAGGACCTAGGGGTCCCATCAGACTGTGAGTACTAGCGATTTGTGATGCTACCTTAGTCAACTCAGCTATGCAGATCACAGGCTGGACTGGTCATACACCTTTATATCGCTGATTTACTCCTTCAGTATCCTCTATCACATAGGCTGTCTACAGTGTACTATAGTACTGGACTCCCAGTTACCAGCTGACCATCCTCACTCCATGGCTGTGATACCTTCTTTGGCTATTAGCTGATCAATTTCAGCAGGATGCACCAGTGTCATCCATTTTCTCACAGTTTTTGCATGAATTACCTTCCATTGCCTTCCCTTTATAATTGACTCCATTCATCTGGCTCTGGTCACACAAGAGGTCATTTATACCACGTCTTGAATGGATTTTGAGGCTTTTACCCTGTACAGTGACTTTTTATCTTGTTATCCTCTTTGGCCAGCGGCCATACTGGCCTTTGCATATTGCCATATATATTAATGCTATATGTTTATGCATTTATGTCTGTCGTTTAGCTGTGTCTAATATCTGTATGGTTGGCACATCCAGTAGCCCCCGGTGTGTGTAGTGGGCTCATATTCCATCTAGTGGGTGTTGGGGAGTTGGGGGTGTCACTGGGATGATATCTCCCTCAGCTCCTCTCTCTCCTTTGTGAGGGGGGTGGCGGGACAGGAGGGTCCTCCATCTAAGGGAGGGATTTCTTTTGGGTCTTTGTGGGGGTATTGATCGGGCTGATGGGGGTGGGTTGTGTCAGGGGTTGGGTGTTGGGTCAGGTCAGTCCCAGTGGACCAATTCTATCCTTGGTCCATCCTTGAGGGTCCCCTCTTGATATCTCGGGGGGGGTAGAGTCCTCTGTCATGCAGGATTGTCATGTCTCCGATGGCTTATAACTGTTTATGGTGCATAATAAAATTCATTTGAGGTTAGCCTTTTAGCTGTGCAGCCTTTTTTCTTCCTCTCTTTATATTTTTGACTATTGATTAAGTAGCACACTTCCAGACATTCTGGTGGCACCTCCACATTTAGACACTGTACATGGATTCCCCAGCGTTTCCCAATTCCCTTTTCCCTGATTTTTGAATTTAAGGCTACTTTTACCTTTCTGAACATGTTACACCCATATTTAGGGTATAATAAGTACAATGTTCAGCATCTGCTTCCTCTCCCCCCACCCGATGTCACAATTTGAAAACAGCGTGGTCGCATGAACAGTTTCCTCTGAATGAATAGACTACAAGTACCGTCAGCCATTGTGGTTGATATCCTGTAGCTCTTAATGAACTGCGAGGGCACTGGTGAGCGCTCTCATAGTTCATTGATCTTCCTGCTCTCCAGTAACTGTTTGCCCCTACCAGAGGTATTTATTTCCCTGCAAAAAATGTGCATTTATTATTATTATTATTATTATTATACAGTATTTATATAGCACCAAAAAGTTTGCTCAGCGCTTTACATTATAGTGGGGGACAGTACATGAGACAATACAGTAACAATATACGAGGGGTTCGAGGGCCCTGCTCCTTGGAGCTTAATTTATTATATTTTTTTTTTTCAAAAGTTGAGCTTATCTTTTAACCAATACCAGACAATTTCACCCCTTCCTGCCCAAGCCAATTTTCAGCGCTATCACACTTTGAATGACAATTGCACGGTCATGCAACATTGTACCCAAATGAAATTTGAGCATTTTTTTTTAATGCAGATCAGCTGGGAATGGTGCTTTAAATTTCTAAACAAGCTCCCTGCCCGGCCGCTGACAGCTTCGCTTTCATTGGCTGGGCGAGGATGATGTCACTGCTGTATGCTGGCATAGCTGAATATCAACCATGCCTTACTGCAAAAGTAACCTCGCAAAGTTTATTGAAGATAAAGAGAGGAGGTGTATCTGTCCAGCTACTGTAACTGAGTGCTGATTACTGAGTGCACCGGGCTTAACTCTGGAGCCTATTGGTATCCATACAATGTCTATCTGCATAACCGACCGAAACTGAAATTGAATGGAAGAATCTCTTTATCAATGACACAGTCATTTTGGACAGTGTGCATCATAAAAATGAATGTCTCCTAAAAATGAGTTTGTCAGTACTGCTGAAATTTGAAGACTCTTTTTATCAAAAGGTTTTAAAATGCAACTCATATTTTCACAAGCAGGTTGGAATTGTTCCCCCAATGAGTGTAGTGCTCATGTATTATTTCTAGTTTGTAAGTAACCATGTATCTTTTTTGTCATGCAGATAGCGGCTAATGGGGACCGTTTCTATGAGTTTGGACACCGTATTCCTGTGGACCAAGTGAGGTGGCTGAGTGTGTCTGGAGATATCATCGTCCAACACCTGGCCATTCTTGGCTGTGGTACTGGAGTGAAGGGAGTAAGTAAAGTTGATGGAATCTAAATTAGTAACAGCACAATGAAACCAATATAAATAGTTAGCTAATGTTTCCTAGACTTTGAGAGGTATATGCCCAATCCCCCCTTCTTTATGCTTCATTGTCATTAATAAGTTTGTATGAGCCACGTGTCAGAGTGCATATGTTAATCTACACACCTCAAATTTTTATTCCTTGACCCCAGGATTTTTTTTATTTCGATTTATCAATTAACAAAGCACATGATCACAAAAGACAATCAACACAGGTCCTTCACTCAGAGGCAGCAGTGTCTTAGATGATCTCATATTGCAGATATACATGTATGAGGCTCAAGGTACATGAAGCACCTGCTAATTTTTAGAAGGAGTTAAAGGAAAACTTTATTTTCAGGATACTGCTTAAGTATAGATAACATATCTAGATCTTACTTTATTTTTTAAGTTCAGGTTTACATTAAGTAAACTTCACCTGTGAAGCCTCATCCCAGCATTGATATTGACATACTACAGGAGTAGGGCCTGAGTTTGTTGATACAACCTAACTGTGTGCCAATATCCTCTCATTATAAAAAGAGAGTACATGTATTGCCCATAACAACTACTCAGATTGCATCTGACCAGGGGCGGACTGACAACTCATGGGGCCCCCGGGCAATAGAGGATCATGGGGCCCCTGTGTCCTTGCCAAAACTCAAAAAAGCCTATGAAAAAGGTACCAGGGGCATCTCATGGGACCCCCTACTGACCCCGGGCCCTCGGGCAGTGCCCGAGTTTCCAAATGGTCAGTCCGCCCCTGCATCTGACATTATTTCTAGTGCAGAACACAAAAGTTGTGATAGATTCTGAGTGACTGTTATGAGCAACACTGGTAGATACTAGACGCTAATGATTGTATTTCTGTTGCAGAGTCTTGTGATGTCACCCATGCAAGCTGAGCTTATTGTAAGTATTGTCAAGTAAAGTTAGATTTCTGGTAGTCTTTTTTTGCCCCCTTCACTTATGTGTCCTCTTCTTCATTTTATCCTTTAGCCTATGATGGGACCTCCAGCCCTACTTCCAGTAAGTATCCAAAATGTATTTCTAACCATATCAAACACACCACAAGTGAGCATAGTAAATTTTCTCACTTGCAACAAAAAAAGGTGTCCACGTTGCACATAGCAACCAATCAAATTCTAGTAATGACACCTCTAACATAATCTAGAAAGAGAATACAATCATCTGATTTTTTACTAAGGACCACAAATTATTTCTTCTTTTTATGATCATCTTTCAAATTCAGACTTTTATTCATTTTAGACAGTCCCATTCAAAGCTAACATCAATGGAGGAATGATACCAAAGCGCTCTGTGGTTGTGAAAGGAATACCAGTTGGCAAAAGGTAAGCAGTTTTTTTTTTTTACTAAACTCTGGGGAGAACAGTCTGCTGAAATTAACAACTTAGTAATAATGCTGAGAAGCAGGTATCAATAGATTATTTAAGGTGCCCATTCAAACAAGTTTTCTGTGCACCTGGAAATCGTGACCTCAAAAGGTTTCAACTTTTTCTACATAGAACTTAGTGGTGCTCTTGGAAATAAGCCCCCTATTTCCAATGGTCATCAATCCAGAGTCTACAGTGAAGGAAATAAGTATTTGATCTCTGCTGATTTTGAATGTTTGCCCACTCAGAAAGAAATGATCAGTCTAAAAATTGAATGGTAGGTGTATTGTAACACTGAGAGACAAAATAGCAACAAAAAATTCAAAAGAAATGCATGCCTAACAAATTATGCACTGATTTGCATGTTCATGAGAGAAATAAGTATTTAATCCCCTATCATTCAGCAGGATTTCTGGCTACCAGGTGTCTTTCATACAGGTAATAAGCTGAGATTAGAAGCAGTCTCTTAAAGGGAGTGCTGCTAATCTCATTTTGTTACCTGTATAAAAGACACCCGTCCACAGGAGCAATCAAACAATCAGATTCCAAACTCTCCACCATGGCAAAGACCAAAGAGCTGTCCAAAGATGTCAGGGACAAGATTGTAGGCCTACACAAGGCTGGACTGGACTACAAAACTAATCGCCAAGCAGTTTGGTGAGAAGGTGACACAAGAGACTGCTTCTAATCTCAGTTTTATTACCTGTATGAAAGACACCTGGTAGCCAGAAATCCTGCTGAATGATAGGGGATCAAATACTTATTTCCCTCATGAACATGCAAATCAGTGCATCATTTGTTAGACATGCATTTCTTTTGAATTTTGTGTTGCTATTCTGTCTCTCTGTGTTACAATACACCTACCATTTGATTTTTAGACTGATCATTTCTTTGTGAGTGGGCAAACATTCCAAATCAGCAGGGGATCAAATACTTATTTCCTTCACTGTATATGCTAATGAGGTTGTAGTGGAGTGCTGTACTGTGTTAGCCATTGATTAATGCAGAAAAGTCTGGCATTTAATTGATTCCCTTTATTGGCTAATTTGAGTTACAGGGAAAGCTTTTGGGATAACTTAGATCACTTTGTCTTTATACATTTCAAAAAAAACTTCTGAAACCCACATATTTATACATAAAATTACAAGGAGAATCAAGCACATATACCTATGTCTAAAATAATGTCTCTTAAAGACCTTGTATATAAATATATTTAAGTCTCTAGACCATTTTTCAGTATAAAGCCTGACAAAGGGATCGGAGTTATCCTGAAACCTTGCATCTGCTTAGGTTTGCCAATAAAGGGTCGCTTAGACTCTAAACTTTCTGAAATAAAGAGGTTTTGACATTAGATTGATAAATGTGGAGATTGGAGTTTTGTTTCCATCCAGAGCAAAAACGGAGCCTTAAGTGGTCCAATGTATGCAGAGTCCACCTATTGAAGGTTTATAGCTGCCTCTCACACAGAATGCCTACAGATTTGACCACTGAGAATTTTCTAACTGCCACCATTCAGATTCAGACCTGTCTTGGAATATTGAATATGAGTGTTGATACAGAGTTTCAGAGTACACTCCCAATGACCCTGTGAGGTGTTTTCTAATTATTATTATTATATACAGTATTTATAAAGCGCCAACAGTTCAATCAGAGCTGTACATTACAATGGGAGGCAAAACATGCGACAGTACAGTAACAATACAATGCGATACACAGGGGTTCAAGGGCCCTGCTCCTTGGAGCTTACAATCTAGGAGGGAGAGGATAGTGGTACAGGAGGAGATAGCTGTGGGGGATGGAGTGGTAGGAAGAGTGGAGGAGGTTGGCAGGTTAGCAGGGGGTGGGGTAGGTTCCCTGAAGAGGTGGGTTTTCAGGGTACACCTAAAGGAGAGGAGAGTAGGTGATAGTCTGATGGGTTGGGGCAGGGAGTTCCAGAGGATGGGTGAAACCCTGGAGAAATCCTGGAGGCGGGCATGGGAGGAGGAGACCAGGGAACTAAGAGAGAAGGAGGTCTTGTGAGGAGCGGGAGTGTGCATTATTGGGTGGTACTTGGATATCAGGTCGATGAGGTAGTTCGGGGCAGTATGATGGACAGCTTTGTACGTCAGTGTTAGGATTTTGAATTTGATCCGTTGCGTGATCAGAAGCCAGTGGAGGGATTGGCAGAGGGGGGTGGCGGAAACGGAGTGGTTGGTGAGGTGAATGAGTCTGGCTGCCGTATTCAGATCGACTGAAGTGGGGATAGCCTGTGGCGAGGCAGGCCAGTGAGGAGGGAGTTGCAGTAGTCGAGTCGTGATATGATGAGGGAGTGGATGAGCTGTTTAGTGGTTTTTCTGGGGTTAGAAACGTGTGGATTTTGGCGATGTTGTGGAGGTGGAATCTGCATGAGTTTCTTAAATGATTGGACTTGGGGCTGGAAGGATAGGTTGGAGTCCAGAATGACACCAAGTACTCTGGCCTGCGGGGCGGGTTTGATAGTGGTGTTGTTGGATGTGATGGAGAAGTCAATGGGGGGTGGTGTGCAGTGCTGGGGGGGAAGACTAGGAGCTCGGTTTTGGAGAGGTTCAGTTTAAGGAAGTGGAGTGACATCCAGTCTGATATGTCGTTTAGTAGGTTTGTGATTCGGGCGGAGATTGCGGGGGTGAGGCGGGGGTTGAGAGATAGATCATAGTTGCAGTGGATTTTAGATAACTCAGATAATGGTAAACTGAGTGAACAGTGGCAGTGTTCGCTAGATAGCATTAGGCTTTCACTGATGCTTATACTTGTTGCATTGTTGGGTTTTTTTTTTTGCAGGCTAGCCGGTAAGTGAGCTGGGAAATTTTGGTTTGTTTGTGATATGTGTTGCCCTTCCATGTGCACCTTACTGCACAGGCTAGATATAGGTTGGGGTGGTTGCCACTTGTTTGTTCAGTTGATTGAGTTTGACGCAGGGATGCACTGGATGCCTTCCACTGCCATTGTGCTCTGGCTGGGAGTCCCATGCCACCCTATGCCTTTAGGGAGGGGTGGGCTCCCTCCACGGAAAACCTGCCCTCAATCTTTCCACTTCTAGATATGCTCCAAATTGGAAATGATCACAACTATAGAGTTAGGACCACAGTGTACAGAGGAGCCTTGATGTAGGCACTGCAGCTAACATATAATAAACTAACAACACCTTGCACCAAAGAAATAACAATCAATCAAAATAAATGCTGCTGTTCAATAAATGACTAAACATCAAACAAGACTCATAAAATGGCACAGTGCAAATAAGAAATAAAATTTAACTTTATAATATATACGTCCAAAAACAAAGTCCCAAATTTATGGTTGAACTGGATGGAGTTTTGTCTTTTTTCAGCCAGACTAACTATGTAAAGTCCAGTGTCCCCAAAAAAATGCAACAAAATAAAAATACAAAAACAACTTCATAAATTTTCCAGCGTGCTCACATCATCAGTGGTAAATCATTTCCCCCACACTCACCAGATAACGTGAATTCTCAAGCTGATATAGCTTTGAGAATCAAAAACAGGCTTTGAGGTGGAGTGTAGTTTCCTCACTCTATGTGGAATCATTTTGGAAGGAGATTCAGTAAGAAATTGTTAAAGGGATAAAACACCTGAGGAAACTACACTCCACCTCGAAGCCTGTTTTTGATTCTCAAAGCCATATCAGCTTGAGAATCCACGTTGTATGGCGAGTGTGGGGGAAATGATTTACCACTGATGATGTGAGCATACTGGAAAATTTATAAAGTTGTTTTTATATTTTTATAATGTCACTTTTTTTGGGACACTGGACTTTAATCTGGGACTTTGTTTTTGGACTTATATATTATGAATTAAAATTTTAAATATTATGAATTAAAATTGTAGAGTACTGAAACTAACATATATGTTTGCAAATGTATGCAAACTAAACCCTCTGTTTTTTAACCTTCCTGGCGGTATTCCCGAGTGTAGCTCGGGGTAAACTTTCAGTACCAAAAGCGGTAACGCTGAACTACACCCGGGATTACCCTGCAGCGTTGCTCTGGAATTCCCTGTTTCACTTACCTTGTCCTTCACTTCCGCGATGTGTTCCCTGCAGCGTCCTCAGCAATGTCCTCCGGCCGATGCCTGCATCCATCTTCCGAGTTCCGGTCCCTGTGAGTGTCGGGACGTACGGGGGCCGGAACCGGCGGGAAATGTATAAATTTTAAAAAGTGACATTCACTAAATACACTAAAATCACATAGTATAACATTACTGTATCAAACCATTTCACATACATTTTGTCCCGAGTGCTTTGTCCTGTGCCCTGCCTACATTTTTACTGTTCTTTCTGCCTGGAAACTGAGAAATGTCCATGGCGTCCAAAAAGCGTCCCTTTAGGTCAAAAGTGGTTTTAGACCAGCTAGAGAACAGCGACAGTAAATCAGAACCACTTGCAGAATTGAGTGATAATGATTCGTGGGGAAATTCGTCATCAGACACTGAAAACGATTTTGTGACTAAGCTCAGTGATGTGCGAACTAGGCGCTATATTTCAAAATTCAGTGTTTTTGGTTTGATTACATTATTGAATTAAATTTATTATTTTTTATGATTATTTATTATATTATGATTTTGTGTTTCAAATTTTTAACATACCCGGGATGTTTACTAGACTCTTGTTCGGACAGATTTCAGAGTTATTCCTAAACATTACAGGCCTACTATATAAAAAAAAATGACATATTTCCATGCAAAAAAAATGTACCGCTTTCAACACAGAAATATTGACATGATCATACCGCTAGGGAGGTTAATGTGAATTGTTAGACAGGGTCAATGTGTTTTTTTGCAATCTAGCTGGTAAGTGTGCTGGGAATTTCTTGTTTGTTTGTGATATGCATTGTCCTTCTATGTGCACCTTACTGCAAAGGATAGTTGTAGATTGGGGTGGTTGCCACTAATTTGTACGGATTGTGTAGAATGACACCTACAAGG